AAAAGGTTTTGCGTCAGTTTTCTCATAATTATCAACTCAGATTTCAAAGGAATGTATTGTACTGGAACTGTTGCTAATTGTTTCATTCATGATGTTCTCCATGCTTCGTTCCTAGCATACTTTTTTTGAGTGTGTGGCTGCTTGACCTTTACTGCATTACCAGCCGCTATTTGGGCTGACATTGACGGCACTTACTAGAAACTCGGCTCGACTCGATCGTCATAGAGTTAGCTTCTCCGCTAGCAGTATTTGGTGACGTCGCTTGCCTTTTGCCAACGAGCACCGAGTAGGGCTACTGGCTTTGGCGTGACTGAGGGAGAGGGGGCTGATAGAGAGGTTGGATATAGTTGGGGAGTGGTGATTGATGGGTGCCGAGATGCTATTCTGAAGGTAGGGCTGGGGACAAGATAGGGGAGGGGAACAAAGGTACTACTTAAGAGTTCAAGACGAGAACTAGGGAAACAGCAATATAGGGAAAGAAACAACGCAACAAGTAAATTAAAGCAAACCTGAGCATATGAAGAAAAAAGGAAAAGCTAAAAAAAGTAAAAAGACTGAGAAAGCGGAAACTGTCTTACAAAAAACCGTCTTCAGTAGTGGGCCACCCTATTTATGAAACAGATGCTTAGGTAAACGTAAAAGCTCTCATATTTACCAATGCAGTTTTACCTTATTCGCTCTCAGCTTTATTTAAGCATCAGCATCATAAATGGCGGGGTCTGCTACTGACAAAGGGTTTTTATAGAACAATTTCCTCTCGTATAGGCTCGTTTTTTTTGCTTTTTTTAGCTTTTGTGCATAGGTTCAGACTTTTTTATTTCGCTTTTTTTTGTTTTTATTCGTAGATTCAAGCTTGCTTTAATTTACTTTTCTTTATAGAGTTGTGTTCTTTTTCTACTTTACTGCTCCCTCCAGTTCTTGTTCCGAGCTCCTAACTTGTATCCTCGTTCCCCTTCTTTACCCTGTCCCGAAATCCTGCCGGCAAAGCAGCATCTGAGTTCCATTCTGTCCCCATTATAAGAGTACTGTGGAAGCAAGCAGTATTTCAGACCTTTCGCAACTCCGGGTATTTGCGGCAGAAATTTATGAGTCTTTCTCCTCAGTCCCATCTTCCTACTTCCTTCAACTCTCCAGATGTACGTGATCTAGCCAATCGACAATGGATTTATGCTACATAACCATTAAGTTCCGGCACCTCTCCTACCTCAAACGAAACCCGCAGCAAACCTCTTCACTTCTTCTCCTCCCTTCCACCTGTCGCTGAAAACCTGCCCGATTTTCCATCGTCAGAAAAAATTTTTTGCAAATTTGTAGTTTGCTGAGTTCCTCGAAGCTGCTTGTCCATTACCACTCTCATGGCATGATGAGATGTCTGGGTCCGAATTCTGTGGGACTTAGTTCTAGCTCGAGTTTCTTCAATAACCACCAAGAATTGTCTTCAATAACCATCAAGAACCATCAAGAATTGTCACGTTTGCATATTTGCGACAAAACAGCAATCACAGCAATGGCATTTTTCAGGAGCGAATTTTACCCCAAGGAAGGCACGAAATTCCATTCTCTTATACGTTACCGAAGACATTGCCGTCATCATTTGAGGGCGAATATGGTTTTGTTAGGTATACTTGTACAGCTACATGCGAGAGGCCTTGGGATGTGGATATTGTGTCGAAGCGAGCGTTTACAGTTGTCGGAATTGAGGATATCAACCAGGAGCCTGAGGTGAAGCTGAATTCCACTTGTCTAGAAATGTACTGACAGCCTGTAGGGCTTGTACTGTAATTGCAGGACATGATGATGAGATCATCGCGCATGCAGTATTAAGCTCCAGAGGAATTCACGTTTTTTACAAAACGCTAAATAGCGCAACTGGAGTTCTCAGAAACTCTGCAGCATTATCGCAGTGTTAATCCCTAAAGCATTTTTTTTTTTTTTTTGAACTCTTCATATATATTTTTTTCCTTCGCTGCTTTGCGGGATTTGTTGGCTCGAAATTAATTCATGATTCTGTTGCCAGCAAATTACTGTGCAGATTCTACTGGGCTAATCTAGCTTCAAATCTCAGTTTTTTCAAACATCCTTAAAAAACGAAATTTAGCTTTAAGTACCTAAATCCATGGGATTTGGAATTATCTGTTAGATTCGTCAGATACAATTCATAGTCTAGCTCTCGGCAAGTTTTTTTTGACCAAGGCTGCATCATCTGGCGCTCAGCTTGCTGCTATTTTATCAAAGGCACAATCATGTGTGACAGTTGGAAAAGTTGCTAAGAAGCACAGCCATGAATTCAAGTATTCCAAGCAGATATTTAAAGTCGAATAGCTCACTCAGTCAATTTTGAACATTTAAGCGAATATAAAAGGTGGTAGATTTATGGAGTGTATGCTCACACCTGTTGTCTTCCAGTCAGGATCCCGGCAGTTTTGTGCTATTTTAAGCTCATTTATGTACGGTCGGTGGAAATCTTTAATGTTCAGACAATGGAACCAGCTTGTGTTTCGGAGTGTGACTCGTCGGTGAGTTTTTGTTGCCGGAAGCAAGGCTCTGTGTCGGTAAAGCTTTCACTCGATCGAACTGGATTTACACCTGGCGAACAGTTCCAAGTGAACGCAACAATCACCAACGACAGTTCCAAGACCATCAGATGTTCAGCGTTGAAAATGAGGCAGCAAGTTGATTACAGGTAATACTTAAGACGCATGTTTTACTTAAGACGCAAACGTATACGGCTTAATGGACCGTAACATTTCTTACCATTACAGTATTTTACTTCTACTAATTTCATAATATTATTTTTTTTTGTCTTCTTCCGGTCTTAAAATATTTTCCTATTACCTGCTAAATAACAAATGACATTATCAAGAACGCCAGTATTTCTTGGGCATCTGGTGTGGAATCTCATGTTAGTGATGTACTAGGATTTCCTTAAACGCTGCGTGCATCTGTATGCATCGATCTCGGGCTGCATTTACCCAGTTGATAACCATTGAATGTTCGATGTGTTTGCGCCAACTCGAGTGGTCATGTACTATCTCGCAGTGATAACGAATAATGCTTTTGCTTTCAGAAATTACATACTGTTGTTCAGTAGAATTTACTTTGTGAATAGGAAATGCAGAGGAGGGAAAAATTAGTCTTCTGAAGGAAATGATGGCAAATTTTGATCATCAAATATAAGTGCTGGCGTGAATGGAACTGTAACAAAGCTGAAATCCTAATTTACAGGGCAAAAACATTTGCTGGAAGTGAGCACGTGAAATCGGCCAGTAGGGTGATCGTGAAGAAGGAAAAAGGCGAAATTGCGCCACATTCAAAATTTGCCTGGATTAACGAGAACGTTGTTGTGCCTTCCATTCCTCCGCGATTATCCCGGTGTAAAATTATACAGATCACTTATACGCTTGAGCTCGACGTTCGTTTCACTTCTTCTTTTTTGATGTTTTTGTCATACTTTAGAAAATGTTTTAGAATTGATCGGGATTCTAACGGGCATGGCGCAGTGGCAAGTAGTGCTATTCTTACTCCGTAGGAAAGTTCGACTTTGTCAATAAGTTAGACTTTCTTCGCTCCGGTGGTAAATTAAAACTGAAATATGCCAGTTTTTTTTTTATCGGGCTGTGTCTAATTATCCCTGGAAAAGAAGAGCTGGTGATAGTCTAGTCAATGCATGGTTGTTTAACTGTTGCGGCCATCGGAATACTTCGACTGCCTCTGTCTTTCACAGAGGGCAAATGCGGAAAGGATTTTAGACTTTTGACTTTGACAGCTGTCTGGGGCTTCGAGTTCTTCACTGCTTGCAAAAGATACATGTTCCATGTGCAGTGGAAGAGCCAACGAAAAATTGATACTCTGAGCGTTGGACTGTTAGATAGCCGGGTTTAAGTGTAAATGTATTTTTATGAGCGCATAGCTATAGGTATGAGTGAAATGGTTGTAAATATAAAAAATAGGGAAAGGAAGAGAGGGAAAGACAAAAAATTTGAAGGTAAAATCCACAGCTGTACAGCATTTCAGTCCACTAAGCTATAACTTCTTGGAAGGATGGCACAAAAAACTACAGTAATTTGATCAGCCACGAATTTTTTT